AAACCCCCCGCAGCCGCTTCTCTAGGCTGCCCCCCGAGCTCCACGAGCACCAGGGACGTGAGGCTAACGCAGCCCATGGTGGGCTCCTGCCCCGGCCTTGGCGACAAAGGGGGCAGGCAGTGGGGTACCCAAAGGTACCTGTCTGGGCTGGACCACAGGCCCGGACCACCTGTGGGGAGCCTCACAGGGACATGCCCCCATTCGGCCAGGGCTCCTGGGGCATGGAGCGAGGAGTCTGGGGTCCTGACCCACTCATCGGGGTGCCAGGGTTTGGGGGGCAGGTCCCCCCTATTCCGCCTCCATCTCCTCCGCCTCCTCGGACTCCTCGCCATCGAAGTAGCGCTCCTCCTCGTCCCGCGTCACGATGTCCAGGTTGTCGAACTCCGGGTTCTCGTCCACCTCACTGGGAGAGAGCGAGCCGGAGCTGGGAGCTCAGGGGGCAGAACCCAGGGGTCCTGGCTCCCAGCCCCGGGACAGACGCTCATTGCCCCAGCCCCCCGCCAGCCCCCCAGGCCAGGGGGCCAGCACCTAGCGCTCCCACTGCTCACCTGTAATCAAAGTCGCGGTCCTTGCCATCCAGGAAGCGCTGATGCATACGGCTGGTGAACTCCTCGCGGAGGAAGGCCTTCTCCTCCGTGTCGGGGACCCAGGAGTCGGAGGCGGAGCTGGACCCCTCGCCTAGCAGGCAGGGAGAGGACGGGCACGATCAGCCGAAGACCAGTCACAAAGCCAGGCCCTGGACAGCAGCCCTTCCTCCCCAACACAGAACCCAGGAACCCTGGTGCCCCGCTCTAACCATTAGGCCTCGCTCCCTTCCCTGAGCCAGACACCGCACTGACCTTCGTCGTCGTCCTCCTCCTCTTCCTCCTCCATGCAGGCGTGCTCCTGCTCCTGTTGGATGTGCAGCCGCAGCTGGAGCACCTGCTCCTGGTAGGAGTCCATTAGGACGCCGGAGAGGGAGCAGGGGCCGGCCTGCGCCTGGCTGCCCAGGGCCAGCAGCTCCTCCTCGCTCAGGTACTGCCCGATGTACTGCTCGTACAGCAGGGGCTCCCGAGCCCGCATCTGCTCGTCGCTGAAATACTCGCCCCCTACAAGGAAGAGCGCTGGAGTCATGGGGCTGGGGATGGGCAGCTTCTGGGGCTCTCCGGGGCAAACCCTGCTCCTACTCCCCTCCCACAGCTGGGGAGAGAAGCCAGGGGTCCCAGCTCCCTGCCCTGGATCTAACCCCTGGTCCCCACTCCCCTCCCACAGCTGGGGAGAGAAGCCAGGGGTCCTGGCGCCCTGCCCTTGATCTAACCACTGGCCCGCACTTCTCAGCCTGCAGAGATCCCCCATGAGCAGGGTTCTCTCCGTGACCCCCTCCATCCTTAGCCTCTGCCATGGCAGCTGGGGCAGGGGACACTCGGCATGAGCTAGGCTGACTTGGCCACGTCCTGCTACAGCAGCCTGATTCCAGGGCATCCGGCGGGCACCATGTCCCACTCCCTGCGGCGCAGCGCTCCCTAGCCCATGTAGCACCCCTGCTGGGGGGCGCGGGGGCAGGAGGGCAGCCGGGTACCTTTGATGAGCTGCTGCAGGGCGGCGAGCTGGGGCAGGGGACACTCGGCATGAGCTAGGCTGACTTGGCCACGTCCTGCTACAGCAGCCTGATTCCAGGGCATCCGGCGGGCACCATGTCCCACTCCCTGCGGCGCAGCGCTCCCTAGCCCATGTAGCACCCCTGCTGGGGGGCGCGGGGGCAGGAGGGCAGCCGGGTACCTTTGATGAGCTGCTGCAGGGCGGCGTATCTCTTGTTGCGCACCCGGGTGCGGCCGGCCTTGGCCCGGCCGGCCCGGCGCACCTCGTCGCAGTAGAAGCGCACCTCGTAGCGGGCGGCCAGGTGGGCGAAGCAGCCCAGGTGCTCGACGCGCAGGGCCCGCCGGAAGCGCTCCAGGAAGACCACGGGCTTGTCCCGGTACAGCGCCCGCAGGATGCCCAGC